GTACTAATAGCAGCAGCAGCAGCAGCAGCAGCAGCAGCAGCAGCAGCAGCAGCAGCAGCAGCAGCAGCAGTCGTATGCCTCCAACCGTGCACGTACGACATCCGCAAAAGCCTCTGATTTCCGCGAATCTGTACTGTTAAACTTTACAACCTGCCTTTGGAATCAACTCGCAGGCTGCCCGGGCCCGATATGACAAACCCTGAGTCCCAAAAATATGCCACTCTCTAGAGGATTATACTACACTGTGGAAGGATTGAAAGCTAAGGCCTTCGTGGTGCATACCAAGAAATCGAGCAGAATACTAGGCAGTACTGATGACCATAGTAGTAGTAAGTGTGCTAGTTGTAATCAGCATACAAAAAGGGTGGCAATAACTTCTTGGTATTTTTTGGAAATCAGATAGGGTTGGGAGTAGAGGCATTGGGTCGTGGCTGCCTCTTCTTTGACTCCACTCGATCTGCCAGCTCAACCAAGTGCTCCAGGCGAGCCACCATCTGCAGAGTTAAGGATTCAGGATTAGGTTGCAATGGATAGGCCTTAACGACTACTGAAGGGGTCGAGGTATATCGATATGTCCTACAGTAATAATGGTGAATGGAACCCTAAAGAACTCTCGTCATGCAAATCCACAATACGGTGACCGATAAAGTACACCCCCTAACGACACCCTACTGTCGTATGTAAATGTAAATGCTCCGAGATATGTGGGTTCAACGAGACTTGGAACATTGAGACCCTGAACAGCTAAAGGGTCTACCTTCTACTACTCCTAGAGGTCTTGCAGTGATCAACTTGGGGCCTGCAGGACTTCATGCAGTAATGCACTAACATTCAGAATTCTAACCTTCGAAGAGTGTGCGTGGTTCCGGGCCTCTGGCTTCAGAGTCACAGCATAAGGTCCTGGTTTACGGCTGCAGGTTGCTGAGGGAATCCGTTTGTGGTTCAGGCTTCAAGGTCTAGGGTTTATAAGGGTTTAGGACCGCCAACACCTCAACCCTCGATCCAAGATGAGTAGCGTCTGCTCCGAAACCCATTCCAAACCGCATTGGGTTGGTAGTTGGTAAAAAAGGGGTCTTCGCAGTAGAACAAAATTTGGGGGTATATCATTTTACAAGTATATCGGGACTACCATTGATTATTGGGCCCCGGTACCAAAGGGTCGCCAGAGAAGCCCTCCAAACCCATAGCCGCAGCGAGGAATGCCTCAAGCGGAATGTCGAGGCTGCTGCGTGCGGGCCTCCGCGATCCGAATTTTCCGCAGGACTGGTAGCCAGCAAAAACGACACCCCTCGCCCTCCGGAAAAATGTACACATGACTACATCGTAGGAACGTGAAAAACAACCTACTGGGTATCAAGGGTACCCCGGGAAAAGCTGCTCCAAGATCGTCTTTTCTGTTCTCTGTCTTACAGGCTCCTAAACGCTTAACCTTGTTTCGGACTTTGCAACCGCTGTCAGGTAAGAAGAAGCAGTCCCCAAGATGTATTGGGGCTATCTTATCAGCCTTCCGGGCCCCTTGGATCTCCAACTAAAATGCCTTGGGCTGCCAGCGGTTTCACGGTGTGAGACTTTCCAAAAATAGGGGGTACCTTAGTTTGGGGTCCTTATAATAAGGATCCTATTATTTAGGGTACTATATTAGGGTCCCCTATTTTCGGAAACCCCTGTGTAGGGTCCAGAAGATTGAAGGTGAATGAGCTGTCGGAATTAGAGTTGATGGGGAAAGGCTGGATACTTTGCTCAGGCCAGCTACGTCTGTAAAACAGGGCTCGCGACTGGCTTGAAAGACGATCTTCTCACGTCACAGGCATAAACACTGTGAGTATCCAACCTCCCACCAGAACACCAGAAATCGTCAAACTTGTGCTGCTCTGGGTGTAATTTTGGGCTCCCTGCTACCATGTATGATGTGCTGAACTTCTACTACAAACTACTCGGATTCTCTGGTTGGGCCGGTTATGTTGCCATCACTCTAACCGATGCCGCAACAGAGCGCTACTGTCGCAGGCTGTGGAGAGCACGGACAAAAACCGAATGTACCCATAGGCCCCATAGTAGTTCCTTTTTGTGGCTTCTATTTAGGATCCTATTAGGTACTCCCGAAAAGGAACTACTATGGGGCCTAATGGTAGAAGCCTTAAAAATTAGAACAGGGTTTGGGGCCACTATCCCAAACAATAGTATAGGTAATTAATCGAAGGTTGAAACCACGGGCCCCGAGTATGAGCCCTTAAACCTGGGACCCTTACAGACCTACTAGATACCCTATATGTACCCTTAAGGGGCCCTAGAAGCCTCCCAAAAGGGCCCATATTCGGGGCCCAAACTGCCCTGAACCCTAAACCCTAAAACCTAAACCCTAAACCCCAAACCCTGAACCCTAAACCCCAAACTTCGTAAGGCCCCCTTTTTCTTACACTGCTCATGCCTTTCAGAAGGCCAAGGTTCCAGGTTCGGGATGTAATTTTTGAGATCTTAACGTTTTAAGACCCTGGGAATCGGTTTAGGGTTTAGGGTGTTGGGTTTGGGGTTTTGGGTTTAGGGTTTAGGGTTTAGGGTTTAGAGTGCTGAGATTTGAATTAGGGTTGAGGGTTCAGGGGTGTAGGGTTTAGGGGTTTAGGGTTAAGGTTTAGGGTACCAGCCCCGATGTCGAATTGGAAACTGCGAGATCAACCTCCACCTACATGGCCGAAGGGGTGCTTTCCAATGGGCGGCACATGTCGGGGATGAGAATCCGGTGGGAACCCTGAGCAAAACAAACAGAGCCCTGCAAAATCTTAACAGATTCTTGCACGCTGGTTTGCGGGGCTTCTCCTTCATTACAGATGCCGAAAAGTCGGAAAGGGCTTCAAATACACACATATTTCCTAGACCCCACCACCCTATCCCGCGCTGGCCCTAACGGAAGCCGAGGTGCAGCAAACTTTGCAGCATGCGTCGCACCTGGAGCCTGATGGCCAGACTTCCGCTACCTAACACCTGAAAGCTTCCCAGAGACTCCAATATCCCTTAATTAAGGAATATACCTTAAATTATAGCAGGACCCCTAATATGATTTAAGGTATGTTCCTGAATTAAGGGGTTTTGGAGGCTCTGGGTTCCTGCTAGTTTGGGCACTCTGGGTTCAAGAACTGAAAGCCCAAACCCAACAAGCCCTACAAGCCTATACCCTATAAAGGTATGCGCATAGAGCTTCTAATGGAACGCTAGGAGCATGGACCGAAGCCGGAGTTTCGATCGAAGCTCCGTGCTGTCCAAGTTCGGTTCGGGATCTAAACTCTGGCCTTAATCATTTGAACAGCGTCTTGGGAGACCATATACTGTACCGGTTACGATCATAAAGAATAGGCAGGCTACAGAGGGATCATCCTACTAATTCTTCCGATCCCTATAATCATACTATAATAGCCTTACCCATAGGCCCCATAATAGTTCCTTTTTTGGGGGTTCATATTTAGAATCCATTAGGCAATCCCAAAAAGGAACTACTATGGGGCCTTATGGGTAACCCTACAGCCACTTACGGGCTCAGACACAACGGGTTTTTACGAAAGGGAGCAGCGGGGTTTGGAGCTTTGGGGCTTAGCTGGGTCAAGGGCTTTGGACCTTGAGTTCAGGGGTTTAGGGTTTAGGGCCTGGGATCATGACAGACCTCAAAATAGGGCCGTGAATAAGTGGAAACGGCGTTGCAGGGGGAATGTATACCAGAGTTGAAACATGGCTCCACGTTATTGAGCCGGGTTGAGGCCTGTAAACTTCAGACTTTCTTGATGTGGAAGCCTTTCGGTGGGCACTACAAGAACTACTCCCACGAGCGTCTCGAGGCACGTCTACAGGCCCGATGCCCCCGAAGCCAACACCCCTGTTAGAACAGGATAGTATCGTGCAAGAACATGGGATTTAGGGTTAGGGCCTAAACGACTACAGTAGATCATAGTTTAGTCGGGGTCAAGGCCGAAACTTACAGGCGACCAGTTGACCAAGATAGGAACATGGACATTGGCCTGTATTGATTTAATATCTACGACATGGGTAGCTTGCGTCTCCAATCAAGTCCGGACTGCGCGGCTGATCTGGATCTGCATGAGGTCCACTGTCGCCGCACGTTTGGCCCAACGTCGTCCGAGCCCGTCCATATCCACGCAAGACAAGTGGGTCGGCCTTGTCCAGCATCAAAGGTCGAACCTTCTCGCTCCTTCTAGATCCTTCGTGCACTCGTATTATCCCCTTACCTCTAGTTAGCCTCTGGTTCTCGCTCATAGAAAGCCATATAGTACTCGGCCTAGTCCATTTTTGGAATTTTGGAACCCTGATTCTCGTAGCCCCTTCATGCCCTCATACCGAGGAGAAGACGAAGGCACCGCGGGGCTCTCCTTGATCGACCTGGGCCGCATGACGAGACACAAGGAAGGTACCTTAGTTAGGCCCTGAAAGGGTTGAGGGGTTTAGATGGGTTTAGGCTTTTTAGGGCTTCCGGGGCTCCGTTAGGAATTGATGAGAAGGATTCGACTCTATGTTTACTGAAACCCGCACATTCTGCTGCACTTCGAAGACGCATGTGCACGCGGGTGAAGTCTGAAAACCAGCTCTGCCACCGACACCTGCGATGTAAGGGCTTTTCGAGTCCAGGGGCTTACCCTAAACCCTAAGCCCTAAATCCTAAACCCTCTAAATCCTACGCCCAGAACCCGAAATCCTCAACCCCAAATCCAAAACCCGTGTGAAGTACGATCCATGCGAACTCGGCAACATCCGCCGATCCGGCTTTGAGCACACTCATACCCCTGGGCCCCATAGTAGTTCCTTTTTGCGGCTTATGTTTAGGATCCTATTAGTTAATCCCAAAAAGGAACCTACTATGGGGCCTATGGGTAATAAGCTCTCAAAACTGGGTGCGTGAACACCGCACCCTTCCAAGTTCCAAGTCGGAACGTCCTAACTCCAAAGTAGGCATTACAACGACACACCTGAAACCGATACGCAAAAAGTTAAAGTAACAACAATGAACGACAACAATTTGCGCACACACAGAGAGGCACACGATCAACAAAACACGACATTGTTAGATGCAAGCTTTTTTGAGAATGCGTCTCAACCCTCAGATAGCCTGCATTACGACAAGGCAAAGACAAACAGTTCAAACGGACAAGTGCTTGCTTTGCTTATAGGTTAATGAAGCAAAGAAGGCCACGAAGAAAAAAAACACGCGCGCACACACACACACACACGCAGATTCCCAGGTCTCCAGCTCGAGCTTACCATCACAATCCGAAGCAGACGTGCTCAGGTCCTCAATGTCGCCTGTGCATGTGGGGTCGTTACATGTTCACTGTTCACGGGGGTTTAGGGCTTAGGGTTCTACGTGGAAAGGCGAGGCGGGGGGGGGGGGGGGGGGGGTGCTTTTTTGCCTTTGAGACTTTATGAAAGCGGTGAAAGGGCCTCCGTTGGACTTGCGGCCGCGAGGGCATGGGGTGGTGGGTTGAAAAGGTGGCTCATCACAACTTGAGGGTTCAGAATAGGTGGTATAGAAAGTGCAGAAACCCGAAGATTCAAAAACAAAGTTTAAAGGACTCGTCTTTTGCCACGCAAGGCTCCACAACAACTTGGATGCACAAATATGTCAAGCAAATCATCTGCCTTACATTCGATTGAAAGGAATGACAAGCCCTTCCATGAACCACAGGTCGAAGTGAAAACCCTTCCGCTTCCTACGGTCTCACTAGCCACCAACTCCTCCAGAAATCAAACTCATTTAGGGCTTAGGCTTTAGGGTTTAACTGGTTCGAACGGTCGCCTTCCTTCTCAGCCAACAGGAGGTGGGATTCAATCCTTGGCTTGCAGTCCGGTCTGGCGTTGAGTCGTTGAGGAACTGGGCGCATGTCGGCAGGACTGCCCGTCTATCTGCTGCAAAGTTACAACAGAGTTTCGACAAAGGAGGGCAGAATATCACTATTCCAGCTTTGAGGAACGTGAAAACTGAGGGGGATATCGTGGTAATGGCACACGCTGCACACAAGTTTCAGCAAAGTGCAAGTCCAGCTAAACTTACAGCACCTCGTTGCATACGCCGAAACTTGCAGCCTTGAAGGGCTTGTGATCTAGCACTTGCACCGTCTGAAGATTATCCGAGAATGTGAGCAGCTGCAACAATGCACGCGTCCAAGACAGTCGTGCATGGGCCACGGGTTGTGACCGGACGTCAATATGCGGGCTGTTGTTCAGTTTGGGGCTTAGGGCCTAGGGACCGTAGAATAGCTTCACAACATGCTGTCCAGTGGTAAGTGCACCACCCATCCAGCAAGCTGCGCTGTTGCGCATGGGGCCTGACTAGGTCGATCGAACTGTAGAGATAGAGGTTTCTCATTTCACTGCCAGACAGTATGGCTAGTGAGCCCACATGAAAACAGAAGGATTGATGAGGGTCGGCACCGGGAGATCGGGTCGCTTCTTGTACTTGTGAATTCCGGCAATGACACTGCACTGCTACATGGCCAGGTCATGCAATACGGCGACCATGTGAACATCTTGATTTTGTAAAAGCATTGTAGCATGATGCCGTCATTGCATGTCGCAAGCGCCATGCAGGCAGACGTTTTGAAAAGACAGCAGGTTTTGCAGTCAACCTAGTATTCTTGCTCATCCCGCTCCTCCTGCTTTTCCTGTTGCTGCTGCTGCTACTGCCGCTCCTACTGCAGCTGCTACTGCTACTCCTACTGCAGCTGCTACTGCAACTGCAACTGCTACTGCTGCCCACTGCCGCCACACATGCGTGTTTTCGGATGAGGGGCATGTTGAGGAGCTGCTGATGTGCCCGTCTCGGCTCAAATTTCAACACTACCGATCCTAGCTTCATAGACCCTACATGAATCCAAACCTCAACCCTTCAACCATAAACTCTTCTTAAACCCATGGCCAAATCCTAAACAAGGATGACTTCGTCTTGGGGCCAGAGCCGCACGTCTGGCCGACCGATGAGCTGTGCATACTTGTCCGCCCAGGTGACTTGGCAAAGCCATGCATTCTGTTGCGGGATTTCGGGTTTGCAAGAAAAAAGCTTAGAGGGTGCTGTATTGCCGAAGGCTTCAACTTCTTAACCCGCAAAGGATCGAGGATCTCCCAAGAATGCTTTCAATGACTGTGATGACTTACCCCCTCAGCTGCCTCTAGTTCCTGAACGAAAACATAGGAACAACAAAACTGCAATGGGACGTCTGCGAGTCTGGAGTTCAGCCTTGTTCCGGGACCGAATGAGCTCAGTGCGATATGGAGGTCGGTTGCAGAAGCTGCTCTGAGCTCACTGTCCGGCTGGGCCATTTGGAAACGTCAAGAACGCTAAAGCCCCAGACCGGCATTGTAAACCATAAGGTCTGAAGTGCCCCCAAAAAATCCAACGCCTCCCTAGCCTGGTCTCGGATGGAAAGGAAAACTTGGGCTTCGGCAGATGTCAAAGAACTCACGACGTCCAAGCTTGTCCTGCTGGCACTGAGCTTTGTCTTAATCAACCGCGGTACATGTCGTGTTAAAACATACCTTGTTAAGTTGATAAGGATAGTCAGTTGAACTAGGTCAGACCTGCCTGTGTGATGCAGCATGAAAGCATAGATATCATATCTAAGCAGATTGATGAAAGCAGTTGTCATGATGGCCGGAAAGGTTTTTATCATGACAAGCAGGAACAGTGCCGTCAACAATGACGGGTGGAGCATATCGCCTCCCCATTGCATTTCAGGTGCAATTGCTTAGGTAATTTACTGTGGCTTCCATTTCAACAGGGCTCTGAACCCCCGAGCCATGCACCTCCACCTCAAACGAGTTCGGGCAACAAACAACATCATCAAGCTCCGGAAGACTGTGTTGCTGGGGCGGCCGAGCTATTGAGGGGTATAAGAAACGGAGCCATGCGTAGGACAATCTCATGTTACTAACAGTGGTCTGATTGTGTACGTTTGGGGCTTCTTGTAACCAGCACATAGGTCCTTGCCATGTACAGTCCAGATTTCAGCAATGTTACTGGCTTTACCTACAACTAGACTTATACGTGTTGTAGTCCCTTAACCCTAAACCTCTGGATACCGTCATCCCTGAACAGCTCAGCTTTGAACCTGGGCACCTGCCTCAGAACACAGCATCAAGGCCAGAAGCCGTAAATCCAGAGTGTTAGCCGCTACATTGCCTATGGACCACTGCAGCTACCAGCAGTTTTGGCCTCGAGGTTGCTTTCGGAAGAGTGGCCTCGGCGTGTCGGAGGGTTTAGGGTTATCACAACTACTACCACTGCCACCACCACTACACGACTGCGTCATGCATAGCTGGATCCCAAAACCTTTGCCACTGCACTAGTGGACTGCTTACTCCTACTGACTACGACGCTTACTACTAGTGACTACTGTACTCAAGGCCTTTGGCCTTTGGGACAGGGTCCCAGAGTTCAGGGAGAGGGATTTTCGGGAAGGTTCGCGAACCAGGGACCGATCACGCGTCCGAGCGAAGTTATAATAGCAATCAGAGCAACCGTAGTAATTGTAGTAAGAAGAATAAACTGTGGTGAGAATAGCAACTGTAGTAATAAGAGTAATCGCAGGACCCGATTGCAAACCTGGGCTCCCAGCTGAGTTTCGTGGGTTTCCTCAGGCGCCTGCACACCGCACACTCCAGGTGTTAGGGGCGCCAGGCTGGATCATGGTTAGGGGCTTAGGGGTTTAGGGTATAGGGTTTAGGGGTTTAGGGCGGTTTAGGGTTTGGAATCTAGGGTTTATGGTTATGGCACTTGCCGTACATAATTCTCAAAGCTCTCAGCTCTACACAACGACATCAATGCCTGGTAACCCGAGGTTTGGCCAACAAGACGAATCACTCGCTGCAGAGTTGTCGCGACTAGCTAGCCCTATCATAGCAGCTGGAGAAGAACGGCCACCGACAGCAACAATAACCTATGCTACGAACGCAGAAATCACCACCACCAACTACGACAACTGTTAGAACTACTACGACGACAGCGAAAACAACAACCATTCAAGCAAGCGACATCTCACCAACAGCATGAACATTATCATCGCCGTAGATTTTCGACAGGGCTCGAGCCACATCATCACAAGCATCACACATCAGCATGACCGTTTCATTGCCAGGACATCATCACCCATGGTGGGTATGGCATGGATCACTCATGCACTGCATGTTAGAACCTGTTAGAGAACGTAAGAGGGAGGTAGCGATACTGTGCAGCAAAACAGCTTGGTCATGCAACCAGTATTTCGCATCAACAACCAGCGATCAAAAAAACAAGTTACGTTGTTCTCCAAGAAACCCCCAAACGTTGTACTAGATCCTAACAGCATCTAGGGGTTCCCTTTACTTCCGCTATACCCCTAGGGGTTCCCCTTTACTTCCGCTATACCCCTAACAATTCCCTTTACTTCCGCTATACCCCTAGGGGTTCCCTT